TTGGCGGCGGCTGCAACGCCCGCGGGGGAAGTGTTGTAAAATAGCTGATACAACTACACGCTTCGTTCCATCTTCCTATCACCAATTACATAATACCGACCCCATTGAATTCAGGGGGCTGGCTTCGGAGTAAACATCCTCAAAGACTGTAGCTCTGTCGTATTGACTTAAACCTAGCAAGGGCTGTTTTGGAACTGTACTTATTTAAATACCGTAAAATTACACTCCAAAGAGTAGCAGTCTAGCAAAGACAACTAGATCCCAAGCATGCCTGCAAAGCAGAAATGACTCGTGACATAAAGACTACAACTCCCAATAGGCAATAAGATCACGTGGTCGTGTATACTGGGAAATGTTGTACCAGCTTCAGCAAGGCGGAAGCTACGGCGCGCACGGCGAGCAGTTGATTCTCATGTCTCCTTTAGGATGATAGAAAGTAGTTCGGGGTGTGTAAGCAATATTTTATGCGCTCCTGACTTTGCAGGTGAGAAGGCTAGGAGCTTGAACAAAGTTAATACTCTCTCGCCATGTGGATTGAAGGAGGAAACCGGCAACCGGGTGGTGAGTAGAGGCTACTTGCTAGTAGGTAGCGTGGGTTTGTGATTTGCAAGAACCTCTCTCCATCCGACATGGGGCATGACCCTGTTAAAAGAGGCGGGCTGATACGTCTCAAAACCAAAGGAGGGAAGAATCTGTGTTATTAATGGGGAGACTGTGCAGTGGTTGACCTTCATAACTGCAGAGAATCCGTGTTAAAAGTGTACGAATGTTGGAGGCAAGGGTTCACGTCCTCTGTCCTGAAGACAAGCCGGTTGATGAACGTGCCTCCACGTGATTTCTTGAGGGCAGACTTTTCCAAGGGTTGAAAACCAGCGCCGCCATTCTCTTAATACTGTAGGAGTCGCTTCTCAAGGTTTGTGATTCTTAAGGTTTTGTTTGTTTTGTTTAAGTCAAGTAGTAGGGAGTTCTGGGTTGCTGGAACGGCCCAGTACCTTGTTCAAATTCATCCCCTTTCTTGTTTGATGTTAGAGATGAGGGTTGAGATGTGTTATCTTTATAATGAGCTTCTCTAGAACAGGTGTGGAAATATCCTCTTAACAGTAAGGTAAAATGATAGCAAACCTCATGGGGTTGGATTCTATGACTCCCTTCAGCTAAGCTGGGTCATCAGAAGAGCCCTGCTAGAACAATTAGTCCAGCATCCTGTCTCACACAGTGGCCAACCAGTTACTCCGGAGGGCCAGCGAACAAGACACTCAGGCCTTCCCTCAATGTTACCTCCTAACACTGGTGTTCAGAGATCTACTGCCTGTGAACAGGGAAGTTCCATTTAATCACCATGGCTAGTAGCCACTGATGGATCTGTCCTCCATGACTCTGTCTCATTCCCTTTTAAAGCCATCTGTGCTTGTAATCACTACATCCACTGGTAGTGAATTCCACATTTTAATCACTCACTGAATAAAGAAGTATTTCCTTTTTTCCCCTCCTGAAGCAATTGCCCATCCACTTCATTGGGTACCTTCCAGTTCTAGTTTTTCGGGAGAGATAGAAACATTTATCTATTTATTTTCTCTGCCCAATTTGTAACTTTATAAATCTCTTTCATGCCCCCCCATCACCGTTTTTTTATTGAAGGAAGACTTGGTGGGAATGGGAGTCATAGCATCAAGCTCGTGGTTTGGGGGGGATTAACTTTATACTGTACATCCATAGTGAAATAAGATACCCCAATCTGCTTCATAGAATTATAGAATGTTAGAGTTGGAAGGGACCTTGCAGGTCATCTAGTCCAACCCCCTGCACTCTGCAGGAGCATAGCTGAAAGATAGCCCTACATACCTAAAACATACCCAAAAGATGGTCGTCCAGCCTCCACTTGAAAACGTCCAGTGAAGGAGCATCCACCACCTCCCGAGGCAGACTGTTCCA